CTCCCTCCCCCGCCACCCGGCCCCTCACCAGGCGGAGCTGGCTGGTCTCGTCGTACGAGAGGAAGCTGAGGATGCTCTCGATGGCCACAATGGGAAGGCCCACCAGCGTGTTGCTCTGAGGCAGCTGTTCTAGGGGCAGCGCTTCCCCTCGGGGCTGGGGCAGAGGCGAGGGCGAGAGTCGCGCCGAGTCCATGGCGCCTCCTTCCCCCTCCGACAGAAGCCGCTCCACCGCTACCACCGCCGCCATCTTGGGGCCTATCCCCTTCCTCAGCTTCGGGAGGGGGCACTTCCTGTGGCGGCGTTCCCGCCTCCTTCTCCGGGAGAATTCTTAAAGGAACAGGCCGCGCCTCCCTCTGGAAAGAACCTGGGAAGGGGGCTTCGTACTGGAGACAGGGAGCGGGGCGAGGCGAGGCGAGGCTTAGCCTCTTCGTCTTGTAACCGCACAGTACCTCCTACGAGCTCATTTCAGAACTTGTTATTGCTACTGTATGTTACTTTGAGGCTCGTTCACACGTCCATATGTTTCACCACCAGTGGATTTCCCTAGACTGGACTTTTGTCTTTGAGTGGCTGAAGCGACTCGGCTGCAGAGCGTTGTGTGTGAGGTGGTACCTACGTCTCGTCTGTGGTGGTATCGGCAACTTTCCATTCACACATCCGAGCGCTCATGCCTTGTTCACGAGATAGCAGGTGGCCTATTTGCGTGTACAACGCAGGCCTGCGTGGAGCGAGGAAGGCACTCAACGTGTGTTCAAAGACTGTATGAGTGGGACATGTTAGTTTTTAAGTTTACCACTCCCAGGATTTCTTCTTTAGTCTGGGGAATTTTTAGAATCCCATAAAATATCCTCCCCCCGCCCCATTTCTGACTAACACATGAGAGTGAGCCTTAGCTGAAAATGTCTTTAGGACTTATTTACACTGCTTTTTATCCTTGTTTCCAAGCATTGTGAAGGGGAAATGTTTTGTTTTCATGCTCTTCCTCTGACAGAACTGGGTCCCATACCTGCTGATACTGCCCATACATGTACCATGCAATGCAGACCTGGGCAAAGTGCGGCCCAAGGGCCACGTATGGCCCGCGAACTCGCTCCAGTCCAGTGTTCAAGCACTTGTGCAAGCCCAAGACAGACTGGATTTCTCTCACTGAACAAGTTGAACATCAAAACCATTTATAGCTTTTTGTCCAAAGTTGATCAGTTGCTTATCTTTTAGTTTTTAAGTAAAGTTGGTTTGACCCACAAATGCAGTTCAAATTTTTCATGTGGCCCCCTATAGAAATTAATTTCCCACCCCTGATGCAATGTTTAGGCTAATTAATACTTTCTCATTATGTGCTCTGTAGGGAAGACAATGGAAGTTGCACCTGTGTATATATTTACAGCATTTAGACTTCTGTTCTCCTAAAACACAGGGCTTATTTCTAAGACATGAATTTATGTTGTTCTTCCAAATAAGACTAGAAGGCAGAAAACAGCAATGAAAGAAATGTAGCTCTGCTGGTCCATTGTTTTTACAAAGCAGCATTCCACAATTAAGCAATGCTTTTATCGGATCCAAATGAGATGCCACAAAAGTAGAGAAACTTCCAAGTTTTCGGCAACTGTGCATCAGGTTAGACAGTGAAAAGAGCATGAGGTGAGGAATGAAATTAAACAGTTGAAAATGAAGCTAAACATTGAAGCCATTACACCTGGAGGTTAGACCAGAGATCTGATTTTCAAGGATTGTATATGGTTCATATATGGTTTCTATATGCATGCATTCAGAAATGTGTGTTTAAAAACATTGCTTTGTTTCTCTCACGCAATTTCAATAAGTACATAGTAAAGGCCTAACAAGTGAGGGGAAATTTTCACTATTGATAGATACAAAATGTATATAGGGTGTATTAAAAAGAAATACCTGCCAGGGGAGCTGGAAATACCACAGTTCCATGGCATATGTACACATTAAGTTCTGAGAATGAATTCACAGTAAATACAACCTCAGATCAACAACACATTACGTATTACACTATGATGATTTATATAACAAAAATACTGTAAAGCCAAAATGGAGAAGCCATACGTGAAAAACTAAATACTGCTTCCATAGGAACTGAGAGGCTAAGTAGCAGGCAGGTGCTACTAACCATATGCCCTTGAGTAAGTGATCATCAGCAAATGTGACCACCTCTATAAAAGCCAAAGTTTTAACAGTTTGCTGGTCTGGCTTATGTTGGAGTGCCGTCGCTCCTGTCACATTCTAACACGACTCAGACTCCCCCCCCCACCTTGTCCACCTAGAAAAGAGAACAAACAGGTGGACACTAAAGAATTGGAGAAGATGAGGGGTCAATACTAGTGGTCTGGTACATGTGATGAAAGAGTTAAATGTACTGTATCAGAGAAAACGGGGGGGGAATTTGGCGGGAAAGGAGAGAGGGGAGATAGAGGCGGGGGCAGGGGATATAAGGGAGAAGTGAGATGAGATGGGGGGGTTGGGAAATGATATGGGTCCAGGATCCCAAGGCGGGGCAGGGGATATAAGGGAGAAGCAAGATGAGATGGGAGGGTTGGGAAATGATATGGGTCCAGGCGAAAGAGTGGAGGCGTCGGATAAGAGAGGAGCGAGAAGCGGTGGCGAGAGAGTTGGAAGCGAAGAAGGCATGGCATAGGACAACAACCCCGTTCATCTTATTGGGGAGAGATGGAGGCGAAAGAGTGGAGGCGTCGGATAAGAGAGGAGCGAGAAGCGGTGACGAGAGAGTTGGAAGCAAAGAAGGCATGGCATCTCGCGGAGCTGCAGAAGATGGGGGTCTACGCGGACCGTGGCTGGCCAGTCCGGGAGAGGGTTCCCCATTCTGGGGTTGGAGTGGGGACCAGGAGACCCTTCCACTACTAGAACCAGAAGGAGATGACGGCGAAGAACCGGTAGAGAAGATATTATCTGGACCGTGGGCATTTGATGAAACTAACCCCTTTGTTAGTAATGTTTGTACTCCCTTGCAGTCTAAGTTTGGACCACAGGACACTTTAGAACCCGTTCCAAGAGACGTTCCAGTTAATGTTGAATTGTTAATAAACAAAGACAAGGTTGAAAAGTTAAAACCACCTCATGCTTTATTGCGAGTGACTGACCCCCTTAACACCGAACCCTTACACATACATGAAAAACTAAGTACTGCTTCCATAGGAACTGAGAGGCTAAGTATCAGCCAGGTGCTACTAACCATATGTCCTTGAGTAAGTGATCATCAGCAAATGTGACCACCTCTATAAAAGCCAAAGTTTTAACAGTTTGCTGGTCTAGAGTATTCAGGTGTGCGTTAACACAATGCCAAGGAGGAAACAAGCAATGATGCTAGAGAAGCAATTGTTGTTGTCTATCAATCTGGGAAGTGTTGTAAGACAATTTCCAAACAATATAAAGAGGCGAGGAAGATTATTCACAAGTGGGAAAATGTTTAAGTTAGTTGCCAGTCTTCCCAAGAGTAGACGTCAAAGCAAATTCACCCCAAGGTCAGACCATGCAATGCTCAGAGAAATTGCAAAAAACCCAAGAGTTACATTTCAGACTCTACAGGTCTCAGCATGTTAAATATTAAAGTTAATGACAGTACAATTAGAAAAAGACTGAACAAGTACGATTTGTTTGGACGGGTTGTCAGGAGAAAGCATCTTCTTTTTTAAAAGAACATGGTAGCACAGCTTAAGTTTATAAAGTTGCATCTGAACAAACCACAAGACTTCTGAAACAATGTCCTTTGGAAGATGAAACCAAAGTGGAGGTGCTTGGTCACAATGCACAGCCCCATGTTTGGTGAAAACCAAACACAGCATATCAGCACAAAACTTCACATCAACTGTAAAGGACAATGGTGGAGGTGTGATAATTTGGACTTGTTTTGCAGCCATGGGACCTGAGCACCTTTCAGTCATTGAGTTGACCATGAATTCCTGCTTACCAAAGTATTCTAGATTCAAATGTGAGGTCATCTGTCTGACAGCTAAAGCTTTGCTGAAATTGGGTCATGCAACAGTACAATGATCCCAAGCATACCAGCAAATCTACAACAGAATGGATGACAAAGAAAAGAATCAAGGTGTTACAATGACCCAGTCAAAGTCCAGATCTCAACTCAATTGGAATGCTATGGTAGGAACTTAAGAGAGCTGTGCATAAACAAACCTCTGCAAACCTCTATGAATTGAAGCAACATTGTAAAGAAGAGCGGGCCAAAATTCCTCCACAACAATGTGAGAGACTGATAAAGTTATAAAGAAAATGACTACTTCAAGTTATTGCTGCTAAACTTGCTTCTACGAGCTATTAAATCATAAGGTGTACTTAGTTTTTCACACATAACTTTTTCATTTTCACCTTATTTTTGTAATAATAAATCATGACACAATATGTCATGTGTTGTTGTTCATCTGAGGCTGTGTTTACCACTTTCAGACCTGCTAAGGATCAGACGATTTTCATTATATCCTGTAAAACCTTAGAATTCTAAGAGGGTGTACTTTCTTTTTCTTATGACTGTATGTAATATTGCTCTGTTGAGAACAATGTACTGTATAGTGAAATCCTGCAATTGACAACACAGAAATATTCCTAAATAACTGCACATAGAACTGCAGCCTTAGTATCTGGATTTCAGGACTAAAGAAGATTAAATACTGATACACCAGTTCAACCACAGTTATTTGTGTATCACACAGTCTATTTGCATATAGCAACAGGATGATGTACCTGTACTGGCTGTTCATGAATAAACAGGTGGCATTTGTTAGTATTCAGTAGCTCTTGATCTTCCTGTTCTTGAGAAGCTACCTCTGCTTCCACTATTGGCATGCCTCTGTAGTTGCACAAGAACATTTGTAGGCCTGCACTTCCTTTTGTTTAGGGAGGTGCTGCAATAAAAGCCTAATAGGTGAACATCAACATCTAACTAGCTAATATTCAAACAAGGTGCTCATTCAAGCTCTGGAAAAACAATGGGTGATTTGGTGAGAGGCAGTATAGGTGATGGACCTTCTTTACTGCACCTTTATAACAATGGTACAAATTCTTCACTTGCCCAAAAGAACAGCTTGCATCCTATCAAGAACAAAGAAACTGTGCTGGTGATCGTTTTAGAGGAGACCCTTATAAGTCAGCAATGCTCTGTAAGTATACCTGGCTTTTTCCTTAAGACATATTCTTTATCAAGTCCTAAACACATAATTTTGTCACTTTTCTCTCTTTTAGAAAATGCATATAGATAGATAGGTCTAGCCTTGGAGTAGGTGAAGTGTTTGCTCTCTCTAGGCACTGAGCTGAAACATGCTATACTGGGTTCTGGCATTTAGTGTTTGCTGAGTTTATTGTCTGCAGTGAGCTCAGTTAAAGAGGGCAGTATGTGTCTTGGAGTCATGTTCCCTCAAAGTTCTATATGTTGTTGGGATACAAACAACAAAAC